TTTGTTATATTTGTTACCCACAGCTGTAATATGCACTCCGTAACGACGATATTCAGGGAAATATATCAAATACAGCTCAGAAATATCTTTGCCAAAATTTATCGAGATCGGTTCCGATTTGGATATAGCTCCCATATATATCTTTATCCGATTTCAACTTAATTGTGCGCCAAATGGGTAATACAAGTCCGGAGCTCTACTAAATTAGCAAAGTGGTGTAGGGTATCATAAACTCGGCCCCGCCCGACTTTAAGACTTTCTTTACTGGTTTATTGCTATATTTTTCGGCGAATTTCCTAGATTTTATCCGTTTCTGGCAAGAGACCATTCCGAATTGATTAGAATTGTTCCAATCGGCTCAGCGGTTCTTGACTTATGAGCAGAATAAATAAGATCTATTCTTTACATATATATTTCACCTATTTTACTATATATCCGATTTCTTGGCTAACAGCATCACTTTAATGGTCAGAAGTGACCTTTTAATGTATTTGTGATATGGCTGGGATTAAAAATATCCGTGGTTTAGTGGAAATTTTCATATTGTCCGATGGCCGCCCAAATTGGTAGGCTTCTGCCCAGTCCTAAACTCTAACCTCATGTACATTTCCGCGTCGATTGGTTCATAATTGTGGCTTATAGAGCAACTGCAAAATCATGAAAATTTTCTTTTTTTGGTACATTTCAACCCCTAAATATTATGCGATCATCTCCAAAAATAATAGGGTTCTATTCTGACAATAACCCCACCTCCATTTTCAATTTCGTGAGGATCGGGCCATAATTGCGACCTGTAGCTTGATTACAAATTAACATGGACAGACGGACGGACGAACGGACGGACATACATAGCTAGATCGACTCAGCTCGGCGAGATAGGTAGATCCATATATACATGTGGGAAATCAATATTTCGAGGTGTTACATAATTTTTTGTCCCAATCAAACTTATAATACCCCCAACACATAGTGTTGTAGGGTATAATAATAACATTATATAATAATAAAATTTGATTTTTGGTATATCAAGTCGAGTTTGTTAATCCAATCTGGTTTCGATAATCAATTGTTTAAATCCAGTCCGTAAACATTTTCTGTATTTTACTATAAATGAAAATATTTCCTATAGGTGATATTAATTTTCAATTAAATGCAATTAATTTCCTGCCATAGCTTTTTCTTCTTCTTCTTCTACTTCAATTAAAATCGTAGAATTATAAATGAATAATGCGAACATGAACTGATTATTCATTCTACCTTCTGCTGCTGTTGCTGTCATAAAGTTATTCACAATAAACTATTCCTTGTTAAAAGTTCTCTCGCACTCGCTCTCTTAAGTAACTTGTTTAGCTAAGGCATACAGCATTTACATAAGTCCTGACAGACAAACCGAATGAACGACCGACCAACTAACTAGCTGCCAGGTTGTCTAACGGGTACCTCGTCTCTCTCTCTCTCTCTCTTTTTGCGAGTGTATGTGTGCGTGTCACTTTTACATCATTAGCAATTTGCATGTCCTTATTAAACCTGCAAAGACGAGCACCGAAACTTTATTGAAATTCATTAAAGTTAAACTTGCATAACATCGCAGCAGAAGAGTTAAGCGTAGAGCAGAAACGCACTGTGTTTGTCTTTGACTAACTCCTGGAAGTTGAAATACTTTGCTCATTCATTTTTCACAATGCATAAAATTATTATTATGCATTTGGGATATACGGCAGGCAGGCAGGAAGGCAGTCAGGCACACTGGCAGGTTGGTGGTGCAAGCGTAGGTTTAGGAATGCCCAGAGAAGATTGTCTTAAGAAGATTGGTGGGGGATTGGCGGGTTTCATTTGTGTGAATTTTAATTGTTTTTATTGCCATTGGAAACACGTTTCCATGCGGTTTATTTACGAAATGCATTCATGTAAAGTGTTCACAAATAAAATTAAATTTGCTTGTTTTGTGCCTTTTCCTCGTTTACCGCAAAGTTTCATGTTTTCATCGGAAACTTGAGGTTTTTGTAGAACAACTAAGTTTTATGCAATTGAAATAAAAATATGTAAGACTATATATATTTATATTTCTCATACCTAATGATAAACGATGGCGTAAAATGTGGGTGGTTTTATATTTGTTATCAAAAATTTAAAAAATATTTTTTTTTAATTTTTTCTGCTTTTTTAGAATTGTTTAAAATAAAAAAAACGGTATTTTTTCAAATATCGATATTAATTAATATATATATACTTGTAGATTCTAGGTCTCTGTGGATGAAATCCGTTTCAGGATATTTGGGGTTCGTTCATTTCTCGAAGGGAGCATCCGATTTGGTCCAAAATTTTAATCGAGTTCGAAGTTGGACAAAAGATTTTCTCCAAACTTTCAATATCCCAATATTTATACCCTACACCACAAGGTGGTCAGGGTATTATGTCTTTGTGGATTTGTTTGTAACAGGCAAAAGGAAAAGAGATAGACCCATAGTTCCTTTTGATGATCTGCATAGAATCACATTCTGAGTCGATTTATGCATGTCCGTCCGTCCGTCCGTCCGTCTGTCGATGTATTTTTGTAAACAAACTACAGTTCGCATTTATTGCCCTATCCAGATTGAATTTTTGCACAAATTATTTGTTTGGCCCAAGGACGAACCCTATTGAAATTGGAGATAATCGGTCAAAATTTAGATATAGCTCCCATATATATGTTCGTCCGATTTGCCTTTTATTGTGCACCAAACGTGTAATATCAGTCCGAATTGTATGGAATTTTGCACGTACGATCAGATTGGACCTGAAAATAAGTATGCCAAATTTGATCGAAATCGGTTCAGATATAGCTATAGCTCCCATATATATTGTTCATCCGATTTGCTATTTTTGTCCTCCGCAGCCGTAATATGCACTCTGTAACAACAATATTTGGGGAAATATATCAAATACAGCTCAGAAATACATTTGCTAAATTTTATCGAGATCGGTTCAGATTTGGATATAGCTCCCATATATAACTTCGTCCGATTTACATTTGATTGTGCACCAAACGTCTAATATTAGCCCAAATTGGATGAAATTTGACACATACGACCGAATTGAGTTTAGAAGCTAATATGTCAAATTTGGTGAAGATCGGTTCAGATATAGCTATAGCTCCCATATATACTGTTCATCCGATTTGTCATATTTGTTACCCACAGCCCTAATATGCACTCCATACCCACGATATTCAGGGAAATATATCAGCTCAGAAATATCTTTGCCAAATTTTCAGAAGCTCAGAAATATCTTTGCCAAATTTTATCGAGATCGGTTCCGATTTGGATATAGCTCCCATATATATTTTTATCCAATTTCAAATTAATTGTGCACCAAATGGGCAATACAAGTCCGAGTTTAAAAACTACAAATGCTTCGGCATATTTAGTCCTTTAACTTTAACTTTAAATTATAATTATAATCATAGCGTTTTAATTGTTATGCGCAGCTCTACTAAATTACCAAAGTTGTGTAGGGTATCATAAAGTCGGCCCCGCCCGACTTTAAGACTTTCTTTACTGGTTTGATTTACATTAGAGGAAGTGTTAATATGGAATATAACTGTCTGCTCTTTCTGGTACCTTCATATGTATATCTTAGCCCAAACATGGACAGTGGTAGCATTTCTGTCAGACTTATGTCAGGAGCGAACATGTATTATATTGTAATAGAAATTTTTAATAATCAATTTAATCCAATCTTTATGGAAAGTCCTCCAAAAAGGATATACGTAAATTGGTGTCTATTGCTGAGGGTGTATATCTAGTAAGTGCCCGTTATTTCGTCAGTGAAAAGTCCACCATGGAATTTTAGATTCATTCTAAAAGAATGAATGAATGAAAAAAATTCTTGATCAGCATTAAAATTCTATGTCGATTTAGCGGACAGACGGACAGGTGGTTTATCCGTCTGTCTGTCTGTGGAAATCACTCTAGCTTCCGAACGAATTGAAGTAGATTGATAAAATTTTACTCAAATGTATATTATGTCTGCAGAACTTTTGGTATTGAATATGGGTCATGTAGGCCTACGTTTTGGTATAGCCCCCATATAATGGTACCTCCCGATATTCGATACTTTGATGATTTTAGCGACATTTTTCACTGGAATTGTTTCAAATTTGGTGTTTGTAGTTCGTAATGGATACTACAGCCTATGACAGAAAATAGTCTGCGCAGGTCCACGTCTTCGTATAGCCCCACAATAACGGTACCACCCTATATTCGGGACTTTTGCTACATTATTCATAGATTTTTTTCATTCAAGTTTCGCATTTGCATATTATAATTGTTTATGACAAAAGTTACCTATGTAGGTCCACGTCGTTGTATAGACCCTAATATAACGGATACATTCGGTATTTTTAAGATTTTAACGAATTTTATTTTTTTTGAAAATTGTCAAAATCGTTCTAAATGGTGGTGGATATTCAAAGATCGGCCCGGCCGAATTTACTGCTTTTTTACTTGTTTTTATATAGAAAAATTATATTTTTTTTATTTTATTACTTTTACATGAGATCAAATCAATATGAGCGGATTTTCGTCTCTTTGTTGTTTTTTCTATATTACATTAAAAACATTTGTAGGCCCATATGAATGTTTCTGATGAATTTAAATTGCTAAGCAAGTATATCAATTTGTCTGGTGTTGTTAGATTAATCTACAATTTAAGACTTGCATTGAAACGTGCACATACACAGCGTTTGTTGAACTCCATAATCTAAATATTAATGGGCTTTGATATTTGAATCTACTGTCTTGATTATTCAAGAAAAATATATAGAAATTATACGGGTGTAAATATCAACGAAGATTGATATAGCACATATGTAAGTCAAGGCCAATCGAATGCAAATCATTTGGAAAATATGAGATTTTTGAAAATCTCATTACAGGCCAGTTAGTTGAATTAAAAGCATTGGACAAAGCTGGCGAACAATAATTGAATTTATTAAAAAAAAAAAAAAACAAACAACAACAATGTCCTTCTTCGTATATCTGCTTTTAATAGCAGTTGCCCTTTTCGTTGCATGGTGTCGTCGCACCTACACCTATTGGAAACGCCATGACATACCGTATGTAAAACCCTTGCCCCTAATTGGCACTCTTAAAGATGTCTTTCGAATGGAGAAAAATGTTGCCCTACACATTGCCGATATGTACAATTATCGGAGTATGGAAAAGGAACCCGTTGTGGGTATTTATGTACTACATCAACCGGCATTGGTCATACGAGAACCGTTGCTCATTAAATCTGTACTAATTAAGGAGTTTTATAATTTCCATGATCGCTACTGTCGCATCGATGAGAGTGTCGATCGTTTTGGTTCGTTGAATTTGTTCTTTGCCAAATATGAGATATGGCGTGATATGCGCAAGAAATTGGCACCCACATTTACCAATGGAAAATTGAAGTTGATGTTTCCACTGCTCACAGAGGTAAGGTTAAAAAAAATTGAAATTGAAAGTGTCAAAAATTGGTCCAATTTGAGGGTAGTTTTGTGATAAAGAGGTGGACTTGGAAATGTGTACTACAAGTCCCCGAAAAGTACTAAATAGTACAATATTTCGTACAATTTGGTATTGGGTGAACATATTGAGGTTGAAATCTGAAATTTGGTATTATCAAAGGGTTGCCGTTCATGTGTAACCTGGACATATGGGGGTGGTTCGGAAATGTGAACTAATTTGTACATAAAGTACTAAATATTATTAAATTTGGTATTGGGTATTGGGACAGAGAAAAAAATCTAAAATTTGATATCCATATAACTGTTGGTATCTGGAATTGAGATATAGCGGTGGTTTGTAAGTGAGTCCTATATTCGGCTAAAAAGTACTAAAATTTACTAAATTTTGTATTGGGTGAATGTGATAGGGCTGGAATCCTCAAATTTGATATAGATGTTACTGTTGGTGTCTGTTGTTATGATATGGAGGTGGTTTTGGAATTGTGTACTATAATTGTTCGGAAAGTACTAAATGTTACTAAATTTGGTATTGCGTCAATGCATGGGGTTGGAATCCCGAAATTTGGTATTGAGGACTTGGTATTTGGTGTTGGGATCTGGTGTCTGTTGTGGAGAGAAGGAGCTGGTTTTGAAAAGGTGTACTTAAATTGATCGAAAAGTACTAAAAAGTACTATATTTGGTACAATTTGGTATTGGGTGAAAAGATAGTGCTCGCAGTTTTAAATTTGGGATTAGGGTCGTTATTGATGTGTAACCTGGATATATGGGGATAGTTTCGGAAATGTGTATTGTAATTGTACTAAAAGTACTGAATGGTACTATATTAGGCATTGGGTGATGGGACAGAGAAAAAATGGGACAGAAAAAAATTTGAGATTAAAATAAAATGCTGATCTCTATCTGTATTTGAGATTTAGCGGTGATTAGGAAATGCGTCCTAAATTTGTACGAAAAGTACCAAAATGCTACTAAATTTGGTAGAGTAGGTCTGGAATACTAAAATTTAATATTGAGGTCTCTGTTTGGGCAAATGTTAACTATAATTGTTCAAAAAGTACTAAGTAGTACCAAATTGGGTATTAAGTGAAGGGATATAGCTGGAGTCCCGAAATTTGGTATTGAGGTCTCTGTTGGTAATGGCTTTGCAAATGCGTACTATACAGGGTGAGAACTGCAACAAAGTCAATCGCCATAATGTCGGAAATAGCATCAAATTTTAGATAAGTTTAGATTTCTTCGAATTGGTCACCTTTGGCACGAATTATGGCCTTCCCGGCGAAGTGCTTGCTTGAGGTGATCGACACTTTGGTATTTTTTAGTGCCAACCTTGCTTTCCAAAATACTCCAGACACAATGGTCCAACGGATTGGTATCCGGAGATTTTGGTGGTCATTGTGCGCTGAAAATGAAGCTAAGAACGCCATTTTGAAACCATTCTTGGGTGCTGAGTGCGATGGTGCTTAGTCCTGTTGGAATGTCCAAGGTCTGCGGCCAAAATATTTGGGTGCCCAAGGCTTTAATACAGCCTCCAGAATATTTTCGCTATAATGTTCGGCATTTATTCTGATGCCACGGTCAATTAATATGAGCAATTTTGTTGTTGCAAAATCGTCAGGCGAAATCCCATTATTGTTGTTTTTATAAAAACAACGTTTATTTAATTAATATGAGCTCCATCACCATGGCCGGCGCTTGAGTTCTGGTGGCCAACTGAAAGTGCACATTTTCAGCTGACCTCTTTGGCAAGTAAACACGATCATTTTGTTTGTTTACAAACTGCTGGACAACGAATCTTTTTTCATCGGTGAAAACCAAATTCGGCAGTTCACCATTTTCGGCCAAGCGAAGCAACTCTTTAGCTCTTTTGAGTCTATTTTCTTTCTGTTTTGTTGTAAGTTCTTGCATTTTTTAGAATTTAATGGCCTTACCCCGAGCTCATTTTACAATATTTGCCGAATGGATTAGTGCGATATTTTCAGTTTACAAGCCATTTTTCGACCACTACGACACCGGTTTCGATCAATTCGCTTCTTTACTTTTCGAACCATTTCTGCTGATATTGCTGTTTTCTTTCGTCCACTTCCTTGACATCGGGCTATGCTACCAGTATCACGGTAACGAGAGATGTTACGAGACACAAAAGATTTATTCACAATTTAAATGCTGGAGTGCTCCAATGATAGTATAAAGTATAAAGAAATCACACTATCACGCTTGAATTCCATTACGAATAATTTTTTTTGTGGAAAATCCTCACCAAAATGCTTTTGTACGCTTGTAAACAATATAATGAGCTATCGCTGGAACAATTTTAACAGCCGTCGGACAAGTGGCTTAGAAATGATAGCAGTTTGAAGTTGGTTGCAGTTTTTTCATCTCATCCTATACACATTTGTTTTTATCCGTATTAGATGAAGTATGAAAAGGAATACTTCTGGTACCTCACGCACATTTTTATATATTCTAAAAATTATCACATACCTCATTACTTTATATGAGGTATGTGATAATTGCCGAATTGGAGTGACCAATATTGCCGAATCTGGCTCGTCGCAATATTTATATCATATTTCTTTAGGTTCGGTACGAAATGGACAATATTGGTCCATTCCTTCGGCACCTACTCCTTAGAGGGGTATTTGAATAATCATAACAGAAGTTAAAATATATTTAAACAATCGGATATTGGCTGAGGTTATACCTCTATAGGAAATACCGACTGATACTTTTTAATTTGTTTTGTTTTAATTACGTCATGAAAAAATATGTTTTTCATTTATATTCTTCTGTTTCTGGTACTAAAAAAGCTCTTCCATTTCTTCTTTTCAGATAGGTGATGAATTGGAAAAATATTTACTGAAAAAAGGTGACAACTTTGTAGCCGAAATTAAAGCTATTTGTGGTCTCTTCACCACCGATGCCATTGCCTCGACCGGCTATGGCATACAAGTTGGAAGCTTTCAAAATCCCTACAGTGAATTTGCTTCGCAAAATTACAACAATCATCAAAATATACCAGCTCATGAACATTTTGTAATGTTCCTGCTGCCAAAACTCTCGAAACATATACGGGCGACAATGTTTCGTAAAAAGTATGACACATTTTTAAGATCCTGTCTCAAGCACGTAATGGATGAACGGATAAAATCAGGCCAGGAGCGAAATGATTTAATTGACACATTGATACGCCTGGTGAAGGAGGCCCGAGCAAATAAAGAAATTCGTGATAAGGATCTTTATATTGATGCCATATTGGCACAGGGGGCTGTTTTCATTGTGGCCGGTTATGAAACATCGTTGTCGGCCATAGCCTTTACCCTCTATCAATTGGCCAAATATCCTGATTTGCAGCGAAAATTACGCAGGGAAATCGAAAAGGTGTTGATTGCGGGCAAGGGTGAGGTTAGTTATGATGCTCTTAAGTCCATGGAGTATTTGGAAATGGTAATGAGAGAAAGTTTACGTTTGTACCCTGCGGTGGCATTTTTGGAACGCAAACATAATGCAAGAGATCAGGAATTTTCCCTGAAGCCCTATCATGATTTTACAATACCAAATGGTATGCCAATATTTATATCGAATTATGCCATACATCGGGATCCCTTGGTGAGTCATAACCTCTTTTAATTACATTTTTTGTAGTTTTTTTGTTATTGCCCCCCTTTATTTTGTAGTATTGGCCAAATCCCGAGGTGTTTGATCCTGAACGTTTTTCACCCCAAAATAAGGAGGGTATATCCCCATATGCCTATTTACCATTCGGTTTGGGACCTCGCAGTTGTATGGGCGGCCGTTTGGGGCTGTTGATTTCTAAAGTTGGGGTTTTATATTTCCTTAAAAACTACAAAATACGTCACTGCCCCCAGACGGTGGAGAGAATGTCTTTCAATCCAAATATGCTGACGTTAGAATGTAAGGATGACATAAATTTGGAGTTTATAAAAGATCCGTTGTGGAAATAGATTGAAATTTGAATAAAAACATAAAAAAATAAATAGAAAAGCAACTAAGTTCTGTCGGGCCGAACTTTTAATGCCCTTCGTCATTTGGAAGGAACTTGGAAAATGAAAAAAAAAATCCATTGAGGGATGACTTGAGGATAAATATCTGTTGTTACAGAAATATGGGGCTGTACAAAAACGCGGACCTCTATAGCCAATTATTTGCCACAGAAGGTGCTGCCTATTACGAACCAATAGTGATTTAAAATTAGTACTTTTAGTACAATTACAATAATTTGCAATGATACGTATTTTCAAAACCACCTCAAGATCTCAACACTATATACCAACAGAGACCTCAAAATCATATTTTTAGATTCCAGCTCTATCCCTTCATTCAATATCAAATTTAGTAATATTTAATACCTTTCGTATAATTTCAGTACTTTTTTTGCAAACCCATTGCATATCTCAATCCTGGACAACAACAGTTGTCGCAATATAAAATTGTATGGTTTCATAACTATTCCTTTATCTAATACCAAATTTAGTAATTTTTGTACAATTATAGCACACTTTTCAAATACCTGCCTCATATCTCAATCGCAGATAAAAATAGCAACATCAATATCAAATTTCAGAATTTCAGCACTATTCCTTCTCTTTATTCTTTCACTCAATACCAAATTTAGTATTTTTCGTACAAGTATAGTACTCAACTCCATATCTCAATTCCAGAGATCTAGATATAAAATTCGGGATTTCAGCTCTACTCCTTCACCCAATCTCCAACTTAGAGCCACATAATACTTTTCGAACAATTATAGTACACATCTCTAAAATCACCTCCATATCTCAATCAAACACCAACAGTCACATTTATATTAAATGTCAGGACTTCAGTTCAATTATAGTACACTTTTCGAAACCCACATCCACATCTGTATTCCAAATGGCAACAGAGACCTGAATATGAAATTTCGGGATTCCAGTTCTATCCTTTCACCCAATGACTAATTTAGTACTTTTTAGTACTTTTCGTGCAATTATAGTAAACTTTTCCAAAACCGTCTGCATATCTGAATTTCAGATACCAACAGAGACCTTAATATCAAATTTCGGGATTCCAGCCCTATTAGTCAATATATAATTTAGAACCATTTAGTACTTTTCGAAAAATCCGTTAAAAATATCAAATAAAGCCTTTATTTTGGGGTATAAACGAAGATGTGGAACTGTATAGGCAATGTTTGCCATAAGCCATTAAAATATTCAAATACGAAAATCATCACAATAACGCATATAGGGAGGTATCGTCATATCGGAGCTATACGAAGACCTGGACCTGCATAGACAATTTTCTGTCACAGGCTGTAATACCTATTTGGAACTTCAAATACGAAATTTCTCCGGTGAATAATGTTCCTAAAATCGTCAAAATATTAAATATCGGTGGTACCGTTGCTTGTGAGTTATACGATATCGTGGAACTATATAGACATTTCTCTTCTAGGGGGTAAAGTGCTTAGAAAGAACTTCTAGTATAATTTTTTAGATCATTTTATTCAAAAATGTGGCTAAAATCATCGAAATACCGAATATCGGGGGTTACCTTTATATGGGGGCTATACGATATCGTGGACCTATGTAGCGCATCTTCGAACCTGAGGTGTCTGCAGACAAAAGACCGATCTGTGCAACATTTTAGCTTCCTAGCTTTATTCGTTTTGACTCCAGCGTGATTAAAACATACGTACGGACAGACGGACGAGCGGGCGGACGGACAGGGCTAAATCGTCTTAGAATTTTACGCTGATCAAGAATATATATATATATATATACTTCGTTATGTCTAAAACTATTATTTCGATGAGTTAGTATAGTACCTGTCATATTTCGGATCAACTCTACTTTATTAAAAACTCTCGGATTTTTTTAAAATTTTTTGCAGAGGTAAGTGTTTGAACCCTGATTTTGGGAGAGTATATTTTCCTGGGGGAACGGACCCGGACACCCGGATATTTGACCCAAAAGTCCGGGTCCAAGATCCGGGTAAGACCAGGAGCTACTTAATCGATATGGACTATATTGTAGCATTTTGGAAAGGTTAGATTGTAAGCTACAGTTTGATATATATTTTGTGGACTCTCAAATTTTCGACCTTTGAGAATTTAAAAAAAAAAAATAGGGTCCGAATAATCAATAATTTTCATACAACTTCCGACTGTTTTAAATAACACCAAAATGTGACCACTTGTTGATAAGGTATTAAAATTAACTTTCAAATGCTACTATCGGTTTAGTGGGTTTGGGTTTAACTCGGGTCTTGGACCCGGACGTTTTGGCCAAATTTTCGGGTGTCCGGTACAAACACCTACCTCTGGAAAAAAATGTAAAAAAATCCGAGAGTTTTTACTGAACTCGAGTTGTTCCGAAATTTGACAAATACTATACTTTGTAACTCATCGAAATAATATACCGGGTCAAATATCCGGGCATCCGGGTACTGCCCCAAGTAAAAACTACTTTCCTGGAACTAGGGTACAAAAACCTACGTCTGGAAGAAAATTTTCCAAAAAATCCGAGAGTTTTTTATCAAACTAGAGTTAAGCGCAAATATAAGTACCTATAACCAAGATATTCAAAATAATGACTCTTCTTAAGTCCCCATTTTCAATTTACACCGTGAATAAATCACAAAAAATTAAACCTTTAAGGCACATACGGGTTTCTTTTATTTGCCTTACAGTGTAAGTGAAATGTAATAGGATTTGTCCCGCCCGACTATAATTTTGTGCAGATTTATTATATACCTTCAAGGCCCTTTAAAACATCAAGTGACCAAAATTATTTTTCAATTCAATATTTCGTCTCCATCTCAAATAGTTCAACCTTTTAAAATCAAATTAACTATTTTGTTTGCAATTGTCCTTCTTTTTTTGGCATGAGTAATTTACTCTCGATAGCCCTCGATAACCACCACCCGTCAGATGAGCTTTCATGCCACTCTGTCCAATTCCCCACAGAAGGCAATCAATCATGCTGTCATTCTAGCAAACAGAGCGTGAAAATTAAAATACAAAGACAACAAATGTCAGTCAACTAACTAAGCATATTCGCCTGAAAGTTGCTAGCATTTTTCCTGCCACGATGTAGATATGGACACACATGCAGATCATGGAAAAACTGAATTTTCATTTGGTGGATGGCAAAACTAACAAATGTCTAAATAATTTAGCTGGCATTTTTGGGAATTCACTGTAAATTACCACCAACACCGTTAACAAAGTTAGTGGATGGCGAGAACTTGTTATTGTTTAAATGGATGGATAGATGGATGCATGCATGCTAGGAAAAAGGGGCCTTTATGCAAATGATAATTTAGAAAAAATGAATTGATGTATTCCAACCGTTTAAGGGAATGCAGAGAGTTTATTAAGACAACTACGTACCTTCTGCACTATCAGTAGCCTAAAAATAATGGCCACTACTTACCTTCTGTATTGCAGGTCAGCCAATAAAATATATATATAACTCATGGAAGGAATAATAAACTGGACATACCACCCATACCATCACCTCACCTCACCTAAAAAACTGCATTGCATTTGTGAAGTCCACCAAAATGTCAATTCTATTATCTCCATATGAACTCTGATAGATGCATGGAAAAATGTGTTTGTTTACTTTTCTATGAATATCCTGATGGGGAAGTGCAAAGCACATTATGCATGGGTGGACACACGAACACATATTCAAGTTTATATATCTATGAACTGAATGACAATTTTAAAATACTCTCGTGTCATGTGTACCGAATAACATTCGTTTATAAAATTTTTGAAATTGTTTATTCTCAAGTTTGGTACACTACAAAAGGTATTTTTGCAATAATGAATTGTAATTACAATTAAAAGTTCGGCCGGGCCGAACTTTGAATAGCCTCCACCATTTGGTACAAATTTAAAAAATTTAAAAAAAAAATAAAATCGGTTAAAAATTCGTTTAAGGTCTATACGACGATGTGGACCTGCCAAGGCGATCTTTGTCACAAGCTATTACAATATTCAAATGCGAAACTTGTAAAAAAATCTGTTTATAATGTAGCTAAAATCATAAAAATACCGAATATATATATTCAGGCAATTTTCTGTCATAGGCTGCAGTATCCATTACGAACTTCAAATGCGAAATTTGAAACGATTCCGGTAAATAATGTCGCTAAAATCAACAAAATACCGAATATCAAGAGGTGCCGTTATATGAAGGCTATACGAAGACGTGGACCTACATAGCCATTTTCTGTCTTAAGTCGTAGTATCTATTACGAACTTTAAGTACCAATTTTGAAACAATTCCGGTAAATAATGTCGCTAAAATCATCAAAATACCGACTATCGGGGGTACCGTTATATGGGGCCTATATGAAGACGTGAACCTACATGGCCATTTTCAATACCAAAAATCCTGCAGGCATAATACACATTTGAGTAAATTTTTATCAACCTACTTCATTTCGTTCGGAAGCTAGAGTGATTTCCACAGACGGATAGACGGACGGACATTGCCAAATCCACATGTAATTTCATGCTGATCAAGAATATATACTTTGTGGAGTCTAAAATGTATATTTCGAGGTGTTACAAATGTAATGACAAACTTAATATACCCTCCATACTATGGTGGAGGGTATAAAAATATGTTAAATAGTATAAGTTGCTTAGCCTTGCATTAAGATTATAAAAACCCTTTATGGGGAATGTTCCGAAGAAGAGGACCGTATCTGACCTAAGTCTTGGGCTATATCGACAAATTTATTCACATTTTATGAGTGTGTGATAATTTTTGGAAAATGTTGAAATATGTGTGAGGTACCATCCATAGCTGGCCGAAGTATTCCTCTTTATCTTATACAGGGTGATATGAAAAAACTGCAACCAACTTCAGACTGCTGTCATTTTTTAGCCACTCGTCCGACTGCTGTTAAAATTATTCCAGTGACAGCTAATTATATATTTTATACAAGCATACAAAAGTATTTT